GGTAATGATTTTGGTGCTACACCATATTACCATCATTTGACAGTTCATGCGATTCTCCACTTTGGCAATCAATTAATAAAGTCATACTTCTGAAAAGGACAGACGTATCAGCAAATGGCAGCAACGGGATTGCAAGAATTGCTACCTTTCCTGATAAATTGCTCTAAATCTGATTTCTGGCTGACAAATTAATTTGTGTTAGATCCTTATTAAGTGCAATTCATGTCAGCGTCTTTCTGACTGTATACCGTTTCTCTATACTGAACATAGTTTTTAACTGTTAAATATAAGTAGAATTGATAGTATTGTTGTGCCTTTTAGATAAGCAGCAGTTGTAGAAAAGTCAGATGTACTTACTGCAAGTTTGTCTGCCCCTAATTTTTAGGAGGATCAGCAACATAATCCATTTAAAAAATTCTGTTATTCCTCAAATGTTGATAACTTTTATTGTATAGGAAGGACAAATGTGAGGAAAATGCAAATCTGGCTTTCCCCTTTGTTGTAGTCAAGGTTCCTTGTGCAGGCAAGGTTCCCAAGAACCTTGATAGTTTTTTTTTGGTTTTTTTTTTTGAACCTGTAAATTCTTTAGGTGAAGTGATAAGATTTATTATATGATGATCCCTCCCAAATGCTTGTACCTATTCAGTCCAAATTTCAGTCACATTCATCAATGAAGCAGAGGGCTCAAATTCTTTGTGAAAATTCTGAGGTGGAGAGGTGGTTTCACGTTAGTACCTGCCTGAAAATAGAGGTGCACTGTGAATATAGTTATGTTATGAGACATCAGAGGTGGAGAATCCATATGGGGAAAGATAATAGGAAGTCAGGTTTTACAATTCTGATGTTTAAGGAACTACATGTTTTTTCTTGTGCTCTTAGCTTGTGATCAAGGTGGGTTGTGAAGGCAGCAAATCATGGCTCTTTACAGAATGGATGAGACAGATGCAGCATAACTTTAGCTGCAAGAAGTGCCATATCTGTTTAACGGAAAAAGATATAGAACTAGAAAGTAAATGTAAATGCAGCTGCTGTTTTAGTAAAAGGTACTGCTTCTCCTTACAAGTTGTTCAACTCAGTCAGCTTTTCCATCAGTGTGTAAGTGTTCATTAAATATTTTGTGACCAGTCAGAGCTCTGCATTGTTGTATGCTTTAGGTGGGAAGTAAATGAAAACGATACTTGATTTTGAGTGCCCGTTATTTCCATTAGGAGTTTCAGTGTGGATAGTAATGCTGAACACAAGTGGTGTGAGCTGTTGTGGAGTAGGTGAAAACAGTTAAGAGTTTCCTGCAACAGTACTTTTATGGTTTGTTCTGGCAAGGGTTAGAGAGGAAGTGGGTCAGCCTTTGGTGAACTACATTAAAATGGCATCAGAAAAATGTAAAGGTCAGTGTAGACAAACTAGATTTTCTTATAGTAAAGTAGAATCTTCTACTGAAGAAGTTACAGTTTATTACTAGCTGTGGGCTGTTGCTGTAACAGCATTTTTATAGCCTTACGTGAGTGATGCTAAACTATGGCTGGACTTAATATTTTATGTACCTCAGTATGTTGTTCTGTGTTCATTATTACAACCTTTGAAATTTCTCATCATACTGAATGCACTTGATACTCACTGGTAACACCTTTAATACTTCTTATAGTGATTTTTTCAGCCTTTTTCAAAAGCAAATATTTTTGTTACAGTAACATAGGCAACCATGATTGAAATTACTTTTTAGGGTTAGAATACTAGCTTGACAGCTGTTTGTGAACAATGGAGAAATTTGCAAAACTACTTTTGTCTGTTAAATAATACAGTAATAGAAATAGACTTCTGAATTTGGGAAACAGATTTCACATTGACTGTTCTATCTACTTGCTGTTTCCATTTTTTTTCCTTCAGCCATAGCAAGAAATGAGAGTTCTAATTAAATTAATCAAAATATATTTCTTGGGGTTTTAGGAGAAGGGAGTTGGTGTAATTTTTAGGGTAAACAAGTTTACTGCCCTGTACAGATCTTATTTCAGGAATTGCAGTGAGGAGACCTGATATTTGGTAGAAAAGATTAATTGTAGGCATGCATAAGATTCAAAGTCATAGTCTGATGGAAATTAAGCACCTTTACTGCTCAGGGTATTTTAAAAATCATATTTTCTCTTTATTTCAAAACCTTTTGAGTTTTGTCTTTTAATCTGGCACCATCTTTGTTGACAGTGTTTTGGGGGGGAATTCAAGACAAGTTGAGATCAGATGTATATATCCAAGCTGGATATATATATGTCCAAGCTGGATATATTGTGTTTGATCTTGAAGGATTTCGTAGAACTAAGGGAACTTTAACACCATACTTATGCCATTATCTGGAGTAAATTGGTATGTCCACTCTAGAATCTACATTGATTTTAGTGGTATAGTTATCCATATGGATTAGGGATACTGAATTGAATTAATTAATCGTAAATGGTGGTGTAAGATGTTAGTGTCCATGTCTTCCCTTTTACTTTGTGCTGTGGGAGCACTAGCACAATAGGCTGCAAGAGATTATACGTGCTAGTTCATATTCTGGCAAGTTAGGAGAAACTGTACTTTTTGAGAGCTAAAGGTTTGTTTAAGCCTACTAGTTCAGTTTTTGGCGCATCTCTGCTTCTGTCACTTCACTGTAAATTCAAAAGCCTGTGACAGAAGGTCTGGACAGACAGCTGTGGGAACTAATGTCTCAAATTAATCCAAATAAATGTGCTGGAGTTTGTTGAGTATTGTGTATCCTGTTATGTCAGTGCATAAGTGTTAGAAAGCCTCTTAGATCTTACGGGCATCTCATTTCTGATCCGTGCACCTGCAGAGATGGCTGTTTAACAGTAAGATGGGTGTTTAACAATAAGGCTAAAGGGGCTGGTGCCCTCCCTGTTTTGCAGTTACAGCTACTGAGAAACCTGGGTTAATATAACATCTTTCCTGATTGAGCTAAGCAGCACCAATTCTGCTCAGTGATTTTACTTTTCAGCTCAGTCTCTTCTAAGAGGCTGCACTTTTTGAAGTTAACAGAGCGGTTTTGCAGACAGTGTCTGCTACAAGTGATAACACCTGATATGTATAGTTACTACCAAGGATTGGTATGCAGAAAGGCTCTTACTTATACTTGCTCCTGTAATAACCAAGGCCACTGCTGGGTATTGTGTAACATGTTGGGAGTGCAGGGGAGTAAAAGGGTCGAAAGAAAGTAAAAAGATCACGCCTCTCGGGAGAAACAGATAGGACAGGTGACCCAAACCTTACCAACAAAAGTATTCCACATATATCATGTTCAGTATAAATCTAAGAGATCACTGGGGTTAAACTCTCTTCCTCCCCTTCTTCAATGGGCAGCGTCTGAGGAGGTCTCCATTCTTCTGCCTTTGATCCTGATCCCTAACTTCCCGAATCCAGCTCATGTATCTGTTTCCCCTCTGCCACTGAGCCTTGAATTTTTCCTGATGCCTACCTGCTCTGCAGCATCACGCGAAGTAACCCTCTACCTGGACTTAACTCTGCTGCTAGTTGAAATTCCTGCTGTACAAACTAAAACACCAAGCAAGGACTAAACCCTCCACAGTAATTGAAACTCGAAGTAAGAATTAGTTTTAAAGTAAATTCTAGGTTAATTGGCTTCCACTTTTTCTGAATTTCACAGGAAATAGTAGCTTCATTTGGAAAGCTTTTGCTACTGTCTTTCCTCTCTTGCTTCTGAGAAGTGGTTTTATGTGATTCTGGAGATTTTCATTCTTGTGAACAAATGGATTAAGGGGAAAGTGTATCATTCTTTCAGAGCTGTCTCACCCCTTACAAGATAATATGATTCTGCTGTACTGAGAGCCAAAGACAATGTTAGGTTAAGAGGTACTAATAGGACTAGAGGTTACAGCAGGACAGAAAATGATATGAGAAATAAATGCAAGTGGCAGAGTAGTTTCAGGAATTCAGAATGAGTTCGTGTTTCAGTTGCTTTTGGCAATTGAAATATTTAAAATAAGTATTTCTGAAAATGATTTGAAAGAAGAATATGTCATTTCTTTAGGGAAGGTATATCATGGCCAGTTTGGATGACTTCTTAAACATGCTCTTCAGTTCTCACGTGAATACTTAAAATTTGTGTACTTTATGGTTATGACCGTCCATTCAGCCATCACCATTAAATGCCTTCAACATTGGAGCTTGTGGTAAGTGAGAGAGGGAAAGCGTGTGCTATGTGTCCAGATTTTCTCCACATTTCCACGTGCTCTGCTGGTATGGGTAGAAAAATATTTTGTCAATTCCTCTGTCAATTTATATTGTAAAAGAAAGTGAAGAGATTGCTTTTAAATATCTGCTACATAATTTAATGTCTTCCATTTTAATCAGTTGGTGCAATGTAGTAAAGAATATGAACATTATTCGTTGCTTTAACTCAATGAAAGGGGTCTCCTGGTGCTTTGATGCAAGAATCCGATTGCTGTGTTTACAGAGAAGGTTCACAGCCTTCAGAGAAGGATTAGGACATTTGATTTATTTTTTTTTAATTATGTTTATGTAATGCATGGGTGAGCTTACTGAAGCATACTGAGTTAAAGACATGCTAAATGTTAGTGAAATTTGAGGAGTAAGGAGCGTGCTCTTGCCATGCAGAATCCCTGAAAAGCATAAAAGCGTGATGAGATGAATTAAAACCAAACAATAATACTGAGGTTGAAAACAAATAGGGAAAGTGTACACATACACACCCCCCCTTCTTTCCGTGACAGAAACTTGGGAAGATATCTTTTAAAAGGAGTATGTGCTCATGTGTTGCAAATTGCATGGAACTGGTTGGTAAGGTTTTGTGTCTTGACAGAACTGATAATCTTTATAGGATGGACATTAACACTGACTACCTTGCCTGAAGTGACTAAAATGATTTCAGCAGGTAAACTCATTATGGAGTTTATGCTTAACATTTCAGATTAATTTGTTGTTTTCTTGTGTGTTTGGTTTTTGTTTTTTTCCTTGAAATATATAGGCATTTCAGTAGGACTATGGAGGAGCTGGTTCACGATCTGGTCTCAGCACTGGAAGAAAGTTCAGAGCAAGCCAGAGGAGGTTTTGCTGATACTGGAGATCATTCTCGAAGTGTGTCTTGCCTTCTAAAGCGACAGGCAAGGAAAAGGAGGGGACGAAAAAGACGTTCGTTTACTACACATCATCCCTGGGAGACTGGACATTGCTTAAGTGAAGGTTCTGATTCCAGTTTAGAAGAGTCAAACAAAGACTACAGGGAGAATCATGCTAATAAGAAAGACCACAGTGACTCTGATGACCAGTTGTTGGTGGCTAAACGTAGGCCTTCCTCAAACTTAAATAACATTAGAGGCAAAAGACCTCTGTGGCATGAACCAGATTTGGCTGTTGACAGTTTGGGAAACAGAACTTTACGCAGAAGAAGAAAGGTAAAACGGATGGCAATAGATCTGCCAGCAGAAGTCTCTAATGCACTGACAATAACTCAACAGCAGGATAACAGCAGAGATCAAGAAATGGACAATAACAATAAATCATACCAACACCAAGAGTTTGCCAAGAGCAAAGTGAAAAAAAGAAAAGTAGCTGCAGCTCGACAAGGATCAGAAATTTTGGATGAAGGAGTAGTTATAGAAAATGAAGAAGTGAACCAGGCAAATAAGGACAAAATGGAATATGAGGAGCAAAAAGGCTCAGATGAGAACATGAGTGACAGGTTATTATTTCTCTTCCTTTTTACAGAAACTTTGGATAATATTTGTTTGCTTTTATTACTGTTGGTTGTATTGCGAGACTGTTTTTTCCTTTAATTCCAGAGCTAAAATGCTAGCATCAATAGTACTTGTTAAAACAAGTTACTCAATATTTTTTAACATATATGACTTGCTCAGGTTGAGAAATTAAGCAGAGGAATAACCAAGAAAACAGTTTCTTGAAATTATACATTTTAATTGTTTCAAGATTAATAATGACAATATACAAATTATTAATATGTCTTTTTTCTGGATATATTAACTGATGACAGTTCTCAGACAAAAAATTAAGTGTTTTTCCAATTTCTAGACGTTGGTGCTTTGATTGTTAACTCTATTCATCAGAAAGATTGTAAGTGTTTAGAGTCACCATTTAGACACTATGTTCTTATGTGTCATGGGCATAAAAAGTCTGCAGGTTGCCAAGGATATACATCATTTACGAAATGCAAAAACCAATTTACAGTTCAGAAACACCTGAGCTTACCATTAGAAAAATGGGGGAATGATGACCCCTTGGCAGTACACCTCATCCATCGATTTCAGACAGCAGTCATACTACAATGGTAATTGTTTCCAAAGTACTATTTTGACAACACAGATGTAAGTAATTTTTCTGCCATGCACAAGGGATGTTACCTGCAGGGTCTGGTAAGCTTGATTATGTTTATTCCAGGTGCTTGGTTTTGGATACAGAACTGTTGAAACATATTGAAACATATAACTTAACAGCACTGTGTCCCTGGTCTTTTTGTAACATTTTATCTATAACCTGTTAAGCCTTTTACTTATTGGAGAGGTAGAAGGGTTTTGACTAGAGCAGACAGATTGGTTGCTATCATAACAGCAGTATTGGTAAGTTATTAACTCCATTTATTGTCAGACTTCCAAGTCTTTTTTTTGCATACTAGTTTTGTCTTTGTGTGACCAATAAGCAACTGAATGAGCTGAATGAATCTTGAGCCTTAAAGGCTGTTCCTAACATATTAGTTACTAGAGCACAAGCAGTCCTTCAGGACAGCCAGTGTAACGTCAGACGTCTCATGTAGACGTGCAAGACAGGAGCGTGTTGTCAGGAAGCCTTTAGAAAACTTCCCTCTCCTTTGATGAATGCTGGGAATCTGTTCCCCCCAAGTTGGGGACCTAAAGAGAGATGATTACAAATTTCCTTGGAGCTGGGAACCATTAGATAGCTTATCACATGTCCATAGTCTTGTCACTTTTTTTAAATAAAAGATATTCTGCTATGTTACAAGGGTAACAGTTCTCCACCTCAAAAATTCTGTAGCTAATTTTTGGGTGGAGAGAAGAATGATCTGTGCAGAAATCCTCCAGTAGACTCCCAAACCTGTGTTACTTCCATATCAGGCTGAATGTATTTTATTTTTTTTACAAAAGAAACATTACTGATTTAAAAATCCATTTTCCTCTTCAAAATGCTTAATGTTTTGTTACACAGAATGTTGTATTTTTTCACCTTATTCTTCAAATGTTTGTCTCTGGACCCAATAAATGGCCTTAAAAACCATTCTCATATTCATAGCGTTTTCTACTCATGCACATGGTTGAGTGAGGATCTGTCATTCTGCTGAATTTCTTGCAATGGTCATCTATACCAAAAGATTTGGAATTAGAAAATTTACATTCTGTAATGTGATTAGAAATCCACCATATCTAAGCTTCTAAGGTGTGTGCTGCATCTGAGCATTTTGTATTTGAATAATTTGGACTCATTTTAAACTAACTTTACTTAAATGCAATAGTGCCTCTATTTTTTAGAACGTTTAGCCAGAAGAGTCAGAAATAACTAGCAAACTATTCCTAAGAGTGTGTTCTAAAGCTGAGATTTTAAAAGGAACATGATTTTTAAAAGATTGTGTAAGATGTAGAGAACTAACAAAGCATCTTGGATTAGACTCATGCTTCAGCAACACTTGCTGGAAAAGGAAAAATACAAAGTATAGAAAGCCGCTCTTAATTTTGTACATTTCTGTGCATACATTTTAATAATTATTTTCTAAAAAGGATTGATTTTTTAGAAATTCAGTTTTTAATAAAGACAAAACAAAGCCAATAATTTTAACTGGAATTTAAATTGCTTGGATCTCTAAAACAGAAGTTTTCAGTGTGTACATGAAGTTACTTTAACAAAACATATATATTTGAAGTGTACATTAAAAATGCTAAGTGACACTTTTGCAATCTTTGTGTGTCTTCTAACACAAGAAGCATTTTAAAAGTGCAGGGTTCAGGAGATGTAGGGGGAGTCTTCAAGCTCTTAAAGTGTCAACATCTAAATGATCTGCAATGTGAATTTCTGTGGGGCTGGTTTTGAGCATCGGAAATGAGATTTTTGTGATCAGAACTGGTCCTTTGCTCATCCTCCCTTATCCTCCACATTTAGCTCCTTGGCTAAGTGAGTTGATTTTGGCAGCGCATGGAGTTCTTGATGGTATTTAATTCCTACAAGCTTTGGCAGTTGTTTGTATTTTAGGTGACTAAAAGAGAGGAGAAATCTCAGTTGCCCTTTTGAAAGGGAGCAGCAGTGAGACTTGGAGACATGCACCCGCTGGCCGGTCAGTTCTTGGGGACGGGCTTGGTTAGTGAACAAAGGTCACAAGTCTCATATGAAGCCAAGGTATGGGGCAGTTTGTTAGTAGTAATAGCTAATAATGAAAATAATTTCTTCTTTGTTTCTACAAAGGTACAAATAAAGCTGTGAAGGCTTTCTGAGTAGCAAAACCGTTCCAAGTTTTTGCTTGTATACACAATTTTATAGGACTAAAAGGAATCTGGGAAGTCCTGGAAGTCTTGCTGGGACCAGAATTCTTGCTGCAAAGCAAAAGAATTAGCAATACACAGTGCAAAATTATATTAAAACTGGAAATAAATTCCATCATAACAACTTTCATGTACTTGGATATTAATGTATTAATTCTAGAGATTTTGAATTTATTCAGTGAAATGAGTGCCATGTAGCAATTATCTTGGCTATAATCCTGGCCCTGTTTGACTGAGGAGAATGGGCGCTGTGGCTGCCATGGATATGCTAATGTTACAGTTGGATTTTTGTATTTTTTTTTTGTTTTCAACAACTTCAGCAAGAATTGTTGCACAATTGAAATATCTTTTTTTTAAAAAAAGAAAAAGGAAAAAACAAAGGAGACTTTTCAAAATTGGGAATTTTTCTGGAGAAAGTGACTGAAATACTAGTGTTGAAAGAATTTCCTAACTTTCACTTTTAAAAGTACAATTAAATGATGAATGGACAGGTAGAATCTACGAAAGGGAAAGTTTCTTCTTTCAGAGGTATAATATAAAATTGTGTGCAATGAAATGTAAGGTCAGTAAAGCCAACTGTGCTGTAATCAAGTGAGGATGGGATGCTTACTAGGAGGAAGTTACTAGAATTTGCAACATTTGGAAGTTCAAGTTTTGGTCTCCCTCATAAAAGGTGGTTCCATTCTTATTGCACGCCTGACATCTTCTGCTTAGGGCAATAGTGCCCTAAGTGCTTAAGTCTCTTCTGATTATATTATGTATAAAAGATGGTATAAGTATTACTCATATAGTAAGAATGTGGATAAGATGATACAGCAGAGATTAAGAAATTAATCTTCAAATACAGAGCTGTGCATATGCATATACATATATTTAAAAACTCCACAAAACAACCAAACATTTCTTTGTGTCTTCTGATACTATATTATGTTTCAAATCATGTTGGGATGCCTCCTAAAGGAAGATACAAAACCCCAAATACATATTTATAATTAAGCACAAATTAGACTAATTTTATGTAACTCATATTACAAACTTCAACAAAATTGGGGCTTATATTCTGAAATTAACATTGAAAATTAAATAATTTTCCTAAGTGTATGAGTTATTTAGACACGGAAATAAGACTAATTTATTATTAGTTGATAACTAAACATAATTGAAACAAGTTGAATTGAAATATAGGACCACATGTATGTTTTAATATGGGTAAGTATAGGAAGGTAAACAGACCTGAAGTTCTTGTCAGTAACTTGTATGCAACACTGAGTATTTATAACTTGTATTTAGTGTTATAACTTGTACTTGAATTTGTGTGGTCAGCTGCTTTTTTCTTTTTTCAAACTATTCTACATCTCAGTGTAAGCAAAATGTGATCAAATTTTGATGATAGTATTACTTTTTTAGCAGAGTTACTCTGTTGACAAGAAATGAAATAGGTGGTTTACAAAAGAATCCTTTTGAGTGGAACTCACAAAATTGTGATGTGTGTTATTAAAAGACAAGTCTGTTTTACTGTTTAGACACACCTGGAATATTGTTTGTAGCAATGCGTATACAACAAAGAACAAAATACTCCATCTGTTGAAGTCTTTGATTTTGGAGAGAAGTGCATGTTGTATACATACATTCTAATTTTAAGGCCATGATAGAAGTCACAGAAAAGTAAATTGTACCTTGCTTTTTTTGTTGATGTTATGGTCATTGATCATACTTATTTTCTTTAGGGTGATGATCTTTATTTTGGCTACCTTTGTTATAAACATTTTTCTTTTTCCCCAAGTAGCGCATCGTAACCCTTAAGCCATGTATTTTTCAGAATATTTGCAAATGATGTTCGGAAAGGTAATTTCATTTTCAGACTCCCGTATTTCATGTGCTGAAGGAAGGCTTAGGCTGCTTTTGATGGAGACTTCTATTTTATTGAGCAGTGGTGTTCCAGGATCAAGCTGAATTGCACAGCATAAGAAGGGAGCAGTGAGCTTTTGATGGAAGCTGATAATAAAATGCATCAATTGTGTCAGCACCTTGTTGCAGTCACATCTGGCTTATTGTCAGGGTACCATTAGATTCCCATGGTTTTATGTGCCAAAAATAATATGCTTTGTAGTTAATGGAAGTAGGATATTTGCAGTTTGATTAAAAAAAAAAAATCATCTTGTTTTCTTTCCTATCTCTGTTGGGCTTAAGTTCAATCTGAGCACAGCCTTGTCTCCTTAAAATTTTACGACTGAAAGATCAATTGTTCTTTTGATCTGTTTCTTTCTTTCTCTTATTGCAGTGAATCCAGCAGTCTGAGCAGCAGTGATGCTGGTTTGTTTACCAATGATGAGGGAAGACAAGGTATTGAAACAATCTTTCCCTTCTCCACCCCTCAAACACATCTGGTGAAATTCTATAAGCGTTACAAGTTATTTCGTAGGTCAATTACTATATTTGAGTTGCTATTGCTAGTTTAATGAGTTGAAGTATCACTTGCTTTCCAGATTTTTTGAAATGTTACTAGAGGGTGTTCTGAACCCATGTCTTAGTCAAAAGATGTCATGAGAAGCGTCCTCGGTAATATAATAAACTTACTTATAACTTGGGTGTCTCTGAAAGGCCATATATATGAAGTTTTAATTCTTCAGTTGCTCCAGTTTTGAAACCGGACTCTGTCATTGTCGTACTGCTTCTCAAACTATTTTCTTTTTTCCAAACTGATATGGCAGGATTTCATAGTTATTTTTCATTCAGTAGTTTGTTTGAAAAGTAGTTTCAAACAACCTGCTTTTTCAGCAGTCTAAGAGAGATTAGAAGATGCATACTGTTGAAAGTCTCTCCCTTCTGAAAATTTTTTCTGTAATCTACAATGCAGTGAAGATTCAAAATTTTTCTTTAGTCTGCGTAATGTTCTCATATCTTTTGATATGATAAAGCTATTGCAGATAGAAATAAGATTCTTTTTTCGACTTTAGTGTTTATTGCCATCTTTGAGTACAGCAGTTACCTGTATTATGCTTAGCGTCTTAATGTCCAGTTTATGGACTAGTAACTTGCTGTCTTTGACAGTGTACAAAAATGAGGTGATTAAGACTTGCTTTTCAGTTGGCACTTCTAAGTTAATGAATGGAAATGGAGATTTTCTCACACAGTTTGCCACAGACTACTTGAGTGTGTACGGGAGAACAAGTCTTGGCCCTTTCCAGAGATCTAAGTTAAAGAACATTTTGTTTTGTTTTCTTTTTCCTTTCTCTAGTGTATAATTCAGTTTCTTCTGGTTGTTTTTGTTTTGGTGCTTTTTTTTAATCTTGTTTTAGCGTTATAGTAGGGAGATATTTCAGACTTAGAGCAGAAGTGTTTCCTTCCTTTTCCAAGAGTAACTTGTGCCATATCAACTGTACCTCCCAGTCCAAGTATCTGGTTTTAGTTATACTAGCACATAGCTTTTTAGAAGAATTTAGTCTCTCTTTGAAAGTTTAGATCAATCTTTTAACTTCAGTATTTCAATACTTTATTTCAATGAAAGCCACATCAAAAAGATTTCCTTTTACTTTACTGTATGAATTTCTCTTTTAACTTGCATTTTCTAAAACATTTGTCCTCTGTATTTGTGTGTATCAGGACATACCACATCTCATATGTGCATTTTTGAAAGTACCTTTCCAATATATTTGTATCAATATTTTTGTCCTTAAATTCTGAACTAAATTATTTAAGTCTTTGAATAATATGGCTGAAAACATCTCAGTAACTCTCTGTTTTACTTATATGTTTTGTGGAAGGTAAAAAGGGGAGGAATTGGTAAACAACAGTGTTCTTTCACTGGTGTATTGTCACCTTTTTTTAGTGTTGATTCTTTACTACACAGCTGTTATTCTTATTTTTTGTGGTTTTGATTTTTGAACCTTTATTTAGTTTGATGGTAATTTTCAAGCAGAAAGTGTCAGACCTGAAATATAAATAGAAAGAACAACAATAATTAAACTTGAGAAGGATATTGTTGGGACAAACTGTTATTTTTTTTCATCTCTACTTTGAACTAATTATTTTGTGGGTATAGTCAGAAGACCATTAGCTTCACACTGGATCTCAGGCTTTCTTATATCTGCATTACAGCTTTGGTTTTGTGAAGACTTTTCCATTAGAGTTCATTAGAGATTCTACTACAAAACCTAAATTGTTTATTTCCTAATAACATTTCCCCCCCCCCAAGAAAATCCTAGTAATTTTTATCTTTGTACTCCCTTTTTGAAGTAAGATGAGGTTATTTTATCTCTGTAAATAAATTTATAGCTGAGCTGAGACACTTAAAAATTGAAGGAAGGAGAAAGTAAATCTCATAAAAGCAAAGGAGAAGCCTAGGTGAAAGAAATGAAACTGGAAAAGAACAAGATGAAAATGTATTAAGGGAGTAACTGGCTGATTTTTCTTGTCTGTTTTCTTAAAAGCTAGACTGATTGCTGTCTTCCCAGTGTTCCTCCTCCAGGATATATGTTCAGAACATCAGCATCTTGACCTCATTTGTAGTTCAAATTTTCTGCACTTCTGACTTCAGGTTTCTGCTAAATCAAGTGGAGAACCAGAGATTGATTAATGCTGCCTGGTGAAACCCTTGGTTTGAAATACTTGATGTGCCTGCCATCATTCAGAAGTTTGGGTAGCAGAAGACAAGAGAACCCTGTTGTCCAGGGCAACATATGTTCATTTTGTGTCTCTTGAGACACAAACTGTATTCATGCTATGGGACAGACATTCTAGAAAAGAAAGTGACCTAAAGCAGCAATTTCTTTGAGCAGTTGGCCAGTCACTTAAATAGTTGAGTATTTAATTCTGAACTTTAGAGTGCCAGACCTTGCAGCTTTTAATATTTTTCAAAATTGGTTCAGAAAGCAAACAGTAATAAATTCTACCACAGTAACTGTACTGTTCTGTGCACAGACTCTCAGAAGAGTTTTGACTTCTGTAATTTGATTCAAGAAAACCAGATGTACATTAAATTGGGGGTAGTAATGGGATAATGCTAGATTTATTTTAATTCCTATAATAAAATAGAATTGCTGAGGCTTGAAAATCCTATGTTAGACTTCTGTGTTGTGACATCTAATATTTTAAAAAAAATCCACCTCTTTATGCTCTTCCTTTACAGCTTGCCTCTGTTCCAGTCTTACAGCCTTTTTGATTGATTTATTTGTACCTCTGAAGTCCTCATCAGAGTCTAGCCATGCTTGGCCTCCTTTTCCAAGTTATCCAGGTGCTTATATCAGGTCGTGCGAGAGGGCAAAAGCAGCATTCTTGCTGTACTCTGTTCCAGTCTCTTCTGGCAGAAGTAATTGATACTTGATGTTTTGCAATCCCAACGTGGCAAATGTGATTCTGTGAGACATTGTGTACCCTGTACAGTTAGCCAGCAAAAGCTTAAAGATCATGGAAAATGCTCAGTGTAGGTACAGTTGATGAAGATTGCTGCTGAATTGTTACCAAACCTCAAGTGAATTATTCTGGATTGTGATTTTTTTTCATAAGTTTGTAAATTGGTCAACTTTGAGATAAGATGTAATAGAGTTAGCAAAAAGCTTCAAATCCTATGCAAGTGTCAAGCCTTTGAGCCTACGGGTATGGAGGTGGGAGAGCCTGCCCACAAAGTAGTTGGAAGAACTGAACAGTGGCTGAAGCTTATGTATCTGAAATTATTATGACTTTACTCTTTCTTCCCAGTCCTTCCTTTATTCCTGATAGCTTTTTCACAAATGGTTGTTTTGTAATTGTTAATAGTTTTAATCTTAGAATGGCCTAGGCTGGAAGGGACCTTAGAGATCACCTAGCCCACCCTCCCTGTCATTGGCAGGGATGCCACCTCTCAACTAGACCAGGCAACACATGGGGACCGAGCGGGAATCGAACCCATGACCTCGATGTTGGTCATTGTTGTCAGCACTGTGCTCAACCCACTGAGCTAACCGGCCCCCTTGAGCTAACCACCCCCCTATTGATAAGCACTGTCATACCTGGTGTAGAAAGCTTTGACTGAAGAATTTTGAAACCAAAGATCTAATCTTGCATTGCAAGAGATAATCAATTGTTATTTTTAGGCCTGGCTAATAGAATCACCTGCAGTTTTAAGGCAGTTTAAAAGTCCGCTTTACAAAGACACTTTATAAATTACAAGGCATATTTAATTAAGCTTTCAACACAATGTCAACAAAGCTGTAAGATTGTTCAAATGCTAGTTGATATTATTGCTGTTTTCAAAAAAAAAAGTCTGCAACACATTGCAAGTATATTCTTTAATGAATTTTGTAGTGTTGGTATGACAAATAAGATACATTCCATGTACACCTACTAGTATGCTTAGAGAAATTCAAAGTTGACTTAAGACCTCTTAAATCATGACATACAGCACTTGAAATGTCCTTTAAGATCTAAGCCAGCAGGAAGGAAAATTATATTAATCAAGTGTTAAACAGTTAAAATTGGAGAAGGTCAGGGAATGTCAGAGTTCCACTGTGGATGTGTCTAAGCTTTTAAAGATAGCTGTTCATTATTTTATGATTAGACATATATTCATTACTGTGTCCTTTATGAAGATGACCCACTACTGATTCAGTATATGAGAATTCCATCCTTTTGTCTTCCCTAGCGAGAAACTAATTTGGACCTTGTATAGCACCTCAGTAGCTGCAGATGTCAGGATGGGCTTCTCCATATAGAAAAGAAATGGAGTGTGCAGTGCTAAGTGTAATCACCCCCGTTTCGAGCTGTTGTGGCTAACTGCTTTATAGTCTTTGAGGGTGAAGAATAAATAACGTGAAGTTGTTGTATATGATCCGAATAGTTGAAATCCTAAGTATTGCATGTGGATCCCAGTGGTAGAGAGGAACATAAAGCTGAGATCCTGTGATAACCTTGGTCTGATTGATTAACGGCACACCTGTACAGTCCTTCTACTCAAGTGCAGAGTGTGGTATTACAGTGGACGGGAGGGGTGGGAGGAGGCCTTCATGTGAAGCTTTCAAGCTTGAATGAGAAGTAGCTGCTTAAATCAAATGGTGTCTGAATGGCATTCTGCTATTCCTTTTGCCAGGATAGCTCTGTAGAACACCAAGAGCAAGATGCAGCCTGCCTCTGTGGACGGGTAACTTCAAACTTTTGTTTTCCTGAAACGCTTTGTGTGTGTTACAGTCAATCTTCTGATGTCTCCCAGTGATTGTTAGAGCTGTTAGCTGTGGGTTCTTTTTGTTTGGGTTGTTTTTTTTTTGACTAGGAAGAGATATGCTAGTGATGGAAATGACACTAGCATCTTCGGGTACTCAGAGTCCGTGTGCTGTTGCTCTCTGGGTGCAAGTTGATGGATACTGGAGCACACTATGAAGTGGTGTTTATAGGACACTGATGTTGAACTCTGTGCTAGCCTCTCAGAATAAGTTGTTGCTATTCATAGGCAAGCATATGGACGCCATAGTGACTGCTGTGGAGGGTACTCTGGCCATTCTGAAATAAAAGAAAACTAGGAAGAGAGGGAAAACTATTTGTGTGAAGTGAGACATCTGCTTTTTATAATTCTGCAATGCTTTAACTAAACTAAGATTTGGGTGAAGCTATTCTTAACATGAAATTTCTGGTGATGTAAATAGGATCTATGTCTATAGAGAACCCATGAGAAGCTCACATATATATTTTTCTTACCTTCTAAAAAAGGAAGGCAAATAATTTAACATGAAGGAGTGGTAATTAGGTAAATATGTAGACTCAATAATATAGAATGAAACTGAGGAGGGGAAGGCTTAAAAATAAATAAGTAAATTAAGCCAGGAACTGAAGTGCATTGAAATGTTGGAGTTAACCTTTCTGAGCCAACGAGTTTTTTAAATATGTGGCTAGGAGAAAGCACGGGCTTGGTGTTCCGTAAGTAATTTTCTTTCCTGTAGCTTGGAGGAGTATGATAATTTGCTATACTCTTGTGCTGAGTCAGCACCCCTAAGAGGAAGAGCCAGCATAGTGGATCTTTTGAAGTGTTTTTGAAATTACTTTGAATTTTTAATTCTCACAAGTTCACGTTGCTTATGGATACTGTGTTGCCTTTTGAGAGCTGCAAGTCAGGATGAAACCCAAGTGTTTGGTTACCAAACTCTTGAGCGGGGAGGCCTTTGTCTTATATTGCCTGTACGTATGAGGTGGGGAATTGATTAAATGCTGTGATCTTCCCTGACTCGGTTTGGAAATGGCATCCCTTCGAAGTGGAGAAGCTGCTAATTAAAGTGCCTGTGCATGTTCTCCCCCGCATAAGAATGGTAGCGATAGGTTTATGCTAGGCTCAAGGTGCTACCATGATGGAGTCTAAGGATTCAGAGTTGTTTAAAATACACAGACCAGGAAGCTAAAAACCAGGGACACCTGGATTCTGCTGTCATGTGGGAAAAACCTATGAGGTTCAGATCTTAAGCCTGCCTTTGGCAGGAAGTGACGTAAGTGCTTGGGGAGTTGTATAACAGCATAACAGGTGAGATGTCGTAACAGATAGTTGCTTGACATACTAATATTTCTATTGCACAACAAGGTAACGTCACTTTTTTTTTGTTCCCAGAGAGCCTTTGTTGAGCATTTAGTGAAGATAATAATTTTTCTCTATCACCGCAGTTTGCCTTACCCTTGAGTCCACAAAACCAGTTTTAAATTCTAGCTCTTTCTTCCAAGACTGCATTGCATACCTTCTATGGGCTTCTGTCCTTGAGCTGGTTGTGAAACCAAATTTCAGAATTCTGTGCTTAAGTTCAGAGCAGAATTTTGTTTAACAAGACTTCTTTTGAGTTCCTGATGGTATTTCTTACTAGTCAAGGTGCCTAGAACTCTCATCTTATGACAAAATATTCACAGAAAGATATCTGTGAAAGTTTGGAAAATCAAAACAAAGGACCTCAAACAATGCTGAGCCACAGATGAGTCTGCTGAAAAGATATAATCCTCCCTCCATCATCACCATCTCTGTTCAGTACTCTTAGACATCTCCCCCCAAAAAACATTCCTGCCTTAACATAGCAAGATAGAATTAATGGTGAACGTCTTTGCGAAATATGATGGCTATAAATGAGGATTAGAGTAAATATAGAGAGTAATCTAAAATGCTCTGGGAATGTTAAAATCCTTAAATCTTATTTGGACCTATGTATCTCTCTCCATCTCTGTTTTCCGCTTCCTCCACCCAAAATCTCCTGTTCTCTATCTTCTGCTAATTTTGCTTTTAGTAGTGAGCATTTCGTCTGTGAATGACCAGTAAAGGGCCTTAATTATTCTGTATTTTCTTGAAATACTTCTCCTGATCAATGTTTACAGCCATTTTCACTTGTTCTTGGTTTTGAAGTAGTCTTCTTATTGCAACAATTTATTTGGAGAAAGTGTGTTGTATTTTATTTTTCCCAACATTTTGGCTTGAGTTTCATTATTTGTCTTTTCCCATTGTGGGGTTGAGTGGCAATGAAATTTTACAATTTTCAGGAACAAAAAGAATTCATGTATCTAATAAATCTCGCATTTGTGTCTTGCTTACTTCTGCCTAATTAAAAATTGAAATGCCAAACAAGTAATTTATATGCAGGAATAGTGAGGCATGGTTTGGATACTTTGAAATAGAATTAAACTATTCAGCCCAGACTTTGAAATCTAATTTTTTGGCATGTAAGAAAGGAAATTTGTCATGCAGATATTTTCCAATCCTCTGTAAAATACCTGATTTATATAAACAAACATATTTTAGAAGAAATGCAACAATTTATTTCTAGTTGCCAGTGTGTTTGTGACCTAAGTTTAAGAAAAGATTTTTCCATCTTGTCTTACTTTTGACTTTAAATCCAGGTCTTTAAATACCTCAGCTATAAATATTGTCAGTAAAAATGACCAGCTTTCTGGTACAATGCAGTATAATTCTCAGTCACATGATACTGTCACTTTTCATTTAAAATCAACTTTTTCAAAACTTATTTCTAAATGAACTTAATCAGATTAACTTCATTTAGTCACATCTGTTCATGATTGTTTTCCCCTTTTACTAGCCATACAAATCATGAAATTAAGCTAATTATGTACCATTATCAGCTGCAAAGAACTAGTTTCACAGTTTTATGCCTTTTAATTCCCTGCAGGAGATTAAGGCTTGTTTTGTGTTAATATGTAAAGTGCAGTAACTTAAATGGTTTTCCCTGCAGTTATTGCCAAAGAATTAACTAGTTTATTATTGTTTCTCACTATTGTAAATTGGTTTTAAAACATTACATTTTATGTGGTTTCATTGATGGCAATGCTTGTCATGCTACTGAGAAACATTTTCCAGATAGAACTGCTATATACAAGTAATTTTTATACAGTGATAATGCAAAAGAAATAATTGTCCTGTCAGGGTGTTTATTGATGGTAACATCTGATTTTTATTTTCTCTGCTCCTCCCCCTGGTTTGGGGGCTTGGGTGGGATCCTGCCCTCACACAGGTGATGATGAGCAGAGTGATTGGTTTCACGAAAGTGAATCTGGTGGAGCGTGTGGAATTACGGGTGTCATTCCCTGGTGGGAACAAGAAGACTCTGCAGAACTGGAGAGAGAATTGCCTGATCCAGTCTTTGAAAGTATCTTAACTGGCACTTTCCCTCTCATGTCCCGTTCAGGGAGGAGAGGTAAGTAGCAATCAAGCAAATGCAAACTGTAGAATCACTTGGGTACAGTAGGAAGATATCTGTGGATTATGCAAAATACGTAAAATATTGACAAGATACTGGAGTTACAATTTTGTTTCTTTGAACTACTTCATTTTTAAGGTATCATTAGAGAGAAGTAATTGTTTGGGTTTTTTTTTTAGAAGTAAATTATTAGAAAAATCAGAAAGTGTAAAATTTGGTATGTTTTGATAGCCTACTCTTTTATTTGTTGTCTCAATGTTTGCACTGAGAATTATTAAGCGTTACTTAAAGTGAATTTTTCTATTCCATTTTGTTCCTGGCTTCTGTGATAATGTTTAGAATTCTACAGAAGTTCATTAATCCAAAGGCTTGTAGACTAGTGTGACCATCTGCTTTGCTTTATGGTCAGGCCATATTGTTTGTAGAGAGGAGGGAAAGGTTCCTTTAGAGCAAGGGTTGAGATTGTAACTTAAAAAATATCTAAATACTTTAGAAAACTGTGGATCCAGTGTATCCAATGGCAAGTTGTAGTAGTGTTAGATTCCATTTACAGCTGGAAAACCACTCTGGTCTAAAGAATGAAGTTGTCAGGCCTTAACTTGCTGTCAAAGAATTTTGTTGTGCTTTCCCTATGTCACAAGGATCTCCTTTTACATTCAAATACAATTGTTGGTGTTTTTTTATGTGAACAGTGGTCAAATCACTTTTAAACTACTCTGCGTACTGAATTTATTGAATTCTTTCCTGAGGCTTATTTTCCAGATGCTTCCAGTTGTTTCTGAGGACTTAGTCTCTGCATATTCACCAGATTTAACATTTTCTAGTACTAATGAAGTTTTAAGTGAAACAAAAATCACTTTCCTACTGTCGTTCAGTATGGTCTGCTTATGCAGCTAGCTGTGAATAGAACCAGGATAGCAGTAAGAATATCTACAGAAATGTTCATTTTTCATGACAACTTGGGCTTTCTCTCACTTTTCCCATTCTGTGCTTTGTTTCCACCAGTACCATGTTGGACAGTGTTAAGATGACTTTGTTTAACTGAAGTCAGATTAATAGATTAGTATGTAATAGTGAATTTTACTGGTTATATGGTATAGGAAATACTCTTAAGTCTGTTTGTACTATTTCTTTTTTCTAGGTTTCCAGAATAGATTTCATCTTCATGGAATGCCAGCAAGAAACATCAAAAAGGCTTCAGGAAACCAGAATGCAGTGGTACGTGCTTTTATTATTCTAAGCTAATGTATTCTTAGAGACTTTTTTTTTGAAAGCGTATTCTTTTCATGCTTTTTTCCTAATGTTATAGGTAGGTAATGGAATGGTAAGACTACAGTGCCACTGCTCCCTGATATTGTGTGTTTGCTTTTTAAGTAGTTAGACTCTTGCCACTGCAGTTCTATTGTAATCGAATAATTGTGTGCACTTGAATGGCAGATGACAGTCTGATACTGTTTCTCAGTACTTACTTTGAACTAAGTGAAAGGAAAGGTTTTGGGGGGCATTATGTAAGATTTTCGGTGTATATCTCATGTCCAGATGAAAACATATTTCTCTTCTTACAATGAAAATCGAAGTTAATTTGGGGTTTTTTTCTAATACTAAAACTGTTCCACGTTGGGTTATAGTAGGATTCTGATGGATTTTGTGGTTGTTTTTTTTCCCCGTGAGTCTGCTTTGAAAAATCTGTCATTATGTTTTGTTTGGTTGACTTGTGTGTGGACAGGGGAAAAGGTACATGCAAAAAATTTAATACAATTTAGTGATGCACTGTCATAGACTGTCTGTTCTAAGGCTGTGACTATAAGTGAGAAATATTTGAATTCTTCTAGTGCCTTCAGTTCTAGAAAGACTGTTTAAGTGGAAAAACAATATAAAATCAAACTGTCCTTGCATTTTCTACAGTATAATCATGAGATTTCCCTATAGTTGTTTTCCAGAATAAGATTCTAATGAATTTTTAAGAATTTGCTGTTTGGAGGAGGGCATAAGGAAGAGAGAGATGAGTTACTAAATTGAAATGTTAGAAAGTATTCACTGTACTGCGTTCTTGTCAGAATAGTGTTTGAAAGAGAAGGAGAATGTGGGAGACTCCTTATCAGTGTGTAATAAACATACCCCAGCATGATAAATACTGCCACATGTTCTTTATTATTTGAGAACAATAAATGTTTTCAAATTTTAATCTGTGTAAACAGAATAAGGCGCTTCTGAGAAAGGTAAGAGCTGTTATGTACGGAGAGAATAGAAAAGAACTGTTGGAAATTTAACTCGAAGAGGGAAGGTTTTTGTAATTGAAGTCCTTGTCCAATATTTGCCATTTGAACTGAGTAAGATGCTTTAAAACCTTGGCCTGTGATCTCTGCTGTTCGTGGTCATGAATTAGATGAATGCTGTCTAGTTCTTGGTTTCCTATCTACCTATTTTTATTTTTGGTTCAGTGCTTGCTTGAGCATATCTGGGATTTGTAGCCCATTTTCTAGGCTTATTGCAATTTCACTCTGGTATTTTATAGGAGCTATTATAACTGATAGGTTAGCTTCATGGTATTGATGATACATGGCTTAACTACCCTAAAAACTGCCTTTCCCTCTAAATTGTAAAAAAGGTGATTAAATTTCAGTTGATGAAGATATACTGTGAGGGCATATATACAGCAAAAATCCTAATGTTTATTTTCTGTTATGCTTTCTGTATTGTCCTGAGGAGCCCTTTTTGTCTTTCAGTCACAATATCTTGTATAGAAAGATGGTACCTAGTTCCCTTTATAGCAAAAATGCAAGCTGATCTTCTAAGGACTGATAATTCAGTTACTTCCTGTTATTAAATATATCATTTACATAGTGCTGTGAAAAAAGGTTGACATGTGAATGTACCTTCTAAGCCACTGTATTTAGGCAGGAGTGCATGTATAGAATGGATGTGCAGCTGGCTCTTCAGATGCAGTTTTCTGACCTTCTTAAGGACTATTTATGTTTGTGGGCACATCTGCTGCATCTGTTTTTTCAAATGTAGCTGTATAAGCCAGAGCTCACGTGCTCCCTTTTGTCAGTGATTGCTTCTTAAAGAAAATCTTTTTTAGCTACTTCAATCCAATGGGTGGGGGGAAAAAAAGTCATTTAATACCTGTGACATCTGATAACACAGAACAAGAAGTAATTACTGCTATTAGATGGTAACAGTGAAGAAGAGCAAGGATGCTTTTAGAGAGATTAATATCCCGAGGAAAGAACACTGCAGAACTCATTGAAGAGAGTTGTGGTGCGACTTAATTCTTTTTTTAACGGTGAGGAGTCTGATGTCTGTATTGCTGCTTTCACATGGATTTTAAAGGGAGGCAGAGTAAAAAAAGGAGTTTCATACTGAGATATGCTACCCAAAGGACACTTTGTATCACGTGTTCAGTCTAAGGATGTGTAGTTTGTATCTAGGGAATGTGAGCACATAGTTAGCCCTTTGTGTACGGTCAATGTGGGTTTAAACTTTTTTTGGAAAGTTTAGTTGAAGGTTCTCAATTACAGCAGCTAACGAAGCCTCGAAGAGATTGCTGGCTTAGGGAAGGCGGAATGAACAGGTATGTAATATGTTGATATAGTGTCATCCTTCGGCAAAAAGCTTGTAATGCCCATCTGTTTGGGTGTTTTCTTGTAAGAGAAGCATCAGGTTAAGACTGATTACTACTTGCTCTGTACTGAGGAAACTGCCAGCTTGTGTCATTTTCAGCCCACAATTTCTAGAATCCATGTGAGCTGAGAATCGGAGGAAGGATGCTCCTCTTTATGGACCAGTTAGTGAACTTCAATTTGAAGTAGCCACAGCTGGCACTGAAAATTCTGTCCAGATGCTCTTCCTGCATTTCACTGATGATTTGTTTAATTTAAACAAACTTGTGGGTCTTGTCATCGAGTGTACTGCCTTTGAGTCAAAACATTTTTTTTTAATGATCAATGCTGGACAAGCAACAGAGTAAAAGCCTAACATGGAGATAGTGTGAAAATCCTCACCTAATCCAATGTGCAGCTTGAACGTATTGTTGTACAGGCAGATGACAAATGAAAAAGCTTCGAAAGAAAATGAAAAAAAATTAATCATCATAACTGGCTTACATACTTTGAATTGTCCAATTTACTTAAGATAGGTACTTTTTTATGGAATCTGTAATTAAATGCATATATATTGACGTGCAATTGTAATGCTGTCTTGGCGTCATGTCTTGGTTGCTTTGTTTTGTGGCAGTATTATTTGCAGCAGAACTTTATTTGAAAACAAATAGAAAAACATGGCTTTTCTAATACACTATATGTTTTTGATCCTGCCTGTGTCAAGTAGCTAGTAGCAACTTTGTAATTCTAATTAGAAACATGATACATGTACTTTCTATGGTAGCAATATTTAATGTATTCTTTTTAATAAGATACATTGTGTGAAATTTTACTGTGCTTGGTTGAATTCTGCAGTTATACATGACCTGATCAACTCTTCCCAGCCCCCACCTTCTTTTATGTTAGGCAAAAGTTTTACAATTTAGAAATACTATTCTATAAATGAAATGCTGATTTCTCAGAAGGAATGCTTTTTTCATCCAGTCTTTTTTTCTGTATGTGTTTATAGACTTGCATGTCATTTGTCTAATACTGTATCTCTGTCCTTTCCAAAAAAATTGCATGCAAAACTTTGGTATTTAACAGAACAAAATCAGAAATTCAACATTTTAAGTGCATTTGAAATGTCAGAGTTTATTTCTGTGATGTAGAATACTGTATGAACTCTTTGCCTTCAATGATTAAAGCCTCCATGCTTTTCTGGAGTGGATCCCTGGGGAGATCACAGAAACCCTAATGAAAGAAAATAAGAGTTAATAATTATAGTTCATGAAAATGCAACATGATTACTTTTTGTTTCTTTCAAAAATGTTTTGGCCAACTTAGTACTCGGCTGAGAAATTTCACTTCTCTTCACAACTCCTCCATACAAATAAGTGAAGGCTTTAAAAATCAGTGCTGCTGTCTTAGCTGTTCCTTAGCTACAGTTCCTTCCCTGTGGCGTTTGTTTGAGGACTCTTAGGTGGCATCTCTTCCTGCCTGGATTCCCTGTCAGGGCTGGAACCCGACAGGTGATTTCCCTAGGCTAAAGTGCAAAAAACATGACCAATAAATAGGATGCTTTCTTTTGACTCTGCCAGTTTTTGCAACCTTTGTCATGTGTTTTGATTTCATGATACTGAAGACGCCTACTTTAAGCCTTGCACTCCTGGGATTGATTTGTTCATTCTTTTTGTACAGGTGTAGTATTGAGCTTGACTATACGTAGTTGTAATTATTCAAAAAGTATGCAAAGAATGAAAGCTACATTTACAAGAACTGTTATCCGAAGGTGTCTCAATATTTCTGTCAAATCCTGTGACACTTTTGAAAAAGTTCAAAGAGCTTTTCTCAAAAAAAAAAATGTTGTCAGATAATTACTGTTTCATTGATGTGAGGAGAAAAGATGTATTGAACACTCATACTCTTTGTTAACTGCTTTCATAATGTAAAACCAAATCAAGCATTTCTGCTTCTCAGTTCTTTGTAACTGAAGAAACAGCCAGGTGTTTTCAGGATTCTCTTTTCTTGTCAAAATATTTTGGAAATTGAGTGAAGTGGTATTAGATAATAAACTTTGTTACAGATCTAAGGAATGTTTTCTTAAAGAGTAAGTTGGGCGTTGTTTTTGCAGTATTGGTTAGAAGCCTCTATAGATGCAACTTTTGGGAAGGCCCTGCTTCTTGAGTTAAATAGCTGTATAGAATTCTTTTACTCTGGATGTGTGGCATATGGTCAGATTAAACACAGTTTAGTGAAGTGTATGAAATTACTGATCTGTGGGGTTTTAATTTTTCAGTTAATATCTTTTGTCATTTGTCTTATTTTTTTTTTTAATTTTCGTTACTTGTAATTGTCTTAAATTTGTATCTGCTTATGCAAAATGTAGTGAATAAGTCATGCTCTTTTAATCCTTAGTTAATTCAGTACTTTGGTTTTACAGGATAGAGGGAAATGCTTCTTTGAGGAGTGGGTGCATTCACCTGCTTCTTGCAGATACGGTTTTTCAGACGGAAAAATTCAAGTTGCAGACAGAGGAGGTGCTGCTGTGATGGCAAGTTAGGGCCTCACCTTTGATTCTTTCTTGGCAAAGTCACTATGCTTTCCCAAGAGATGAGTCGAAAGGTACTCTTCTAG